ATATTAAAAGTAGTCAACTATATAAACGTTATTTAGTTAATCTATTTTAATAAAATGCAATATGTCTACAAGAAAAATTGATAAACATTTAAGTAAGAAAATAAATGACAAATTTTTCAAGTAAATCATTCTTTGAATTTTATAATTTAAAAACCATTAACTAAGTAGTTCATTTTGTCTGAATCTAAGAATGATTAGAGTTTCCTGTTGTAATTCTGAACAGTTTTCCATATTTTAGCCCTTCTGAAGATCAATATAAATGGTAGCGTGTAGATGTCAAAGTTCTATATAATTAATATGTTTAGATTGTACAGAATAAACACTATTACGGCTTGGTTAAGAATAGCTCTCCAAATTATACTAGTTTCGTTTTTTAATAACCCCAGTGTATGTTTGCGTAACGTAGAATATTATTTTCATAGAGAAAAATTATTGACTTTTATTTTAGTGTCTTAAATTTTCCCGAGTCAGATAAAATTTTAGAAATAAGTTTCCATTTTTAAAAGCTTCGATTCAGCATTACAAAAAACAAATTGATTGGATGTAGAAGATTAAAGTTTTCTTGATCTCATTTGAATCAATAGGAAACTGGTATAAAATACTTATTTTTAAAGATGTCTATGTTTTTCAAAAAAATATATTATACAATTTGAGTGGCTTGCGGCTTACGGCAGCGTGCTCAATCTTCGTCTTCGTGCGATATGGCCATCATATCCACCCTTGTTGTACAAACTACTATTTTATCTATTCTGTTTTCCGGTGGACGTAAGTCAATGGCTGTATTGGACAAAGTAGTAATTGTTTATTAGTTGTAACGTATATGGCTTCAAGATTATTATCTTTATTTTACATTTTGGTCATATTTTACCTATTTAACGCTTTCATACTATTATGATAAAAGAAATATAAAATTTCTAGCGTTTTTGTTTCCTTGAATCTTGTTTAGAATGCCAAAGTTTAGTATACACACTAATAAATATTCGGAAAGCATTCTTCGGCATCTATTGTAAATGCATTACGAGAGAAACACTGACACCAACATAAGTTTCAGTCTGAACGACCCAAAGTAATATACAAAGATTCTGAAAGATTGTCGGTAATTTTTCTGCGTTCCTGACGTCCATGTGACTGGTGCCACCATCACGTCATTGGTTTTCTATCTGAGAACTTCTAAACAGGCTATGCATGTTAATAATTTGACATTGTCTAGAATTTTAGATATTAAAAAATACCATTAAAATTCAGAAAAAATTTGTCCTATTAAATATTATAGCGACATTGATGTTTACCCCCTTCGATAAATTGTGATTCTATTATTATGCTATTGTCAACGAAATTATTATTGGACATATAATTAAGTTTCGTTTCCCAGCAACAAATAAATAAAAAGTTTGTAAGATATATCTAGTTAGACTACTAACATTCTAGTCTAACTGAAAAGTGGTCATAGGTGAGGTTGTCAATGTCACATATAGATCTAGTTAGACTACTGACATTCTAGTCTAGCTGAACAGTGGTCATAGGTGAGGTTGTCAATGTCACATGTCATGTCAGGCAGACGACTGCCAAATGGTACACACCCTTGTTTTGTTAGGTTCATAAACCGTCTGGAACTTAAAATAACGTAGTTTTATTTATTATATCCTGGCCTACAGACCTAGGATATTACAAAATTTGCAACTAAAACATATTCTTTTTTAAAGCAGTAAAATTACGTCAGATATTAATAATGGACTCTCACAAACGTAAACGAAAATTTAGTAGCATAAAAATAAAACCTCAATACTTCTAACATATGAAAAATTGCAATCCATGGACCAGCTCAACGTACATTTAGATCAAATTCAATATATGATAAATTCTATGCAATAAACGTTAATTACTCGGGGGTAAAGCGTTGGAATTTAGAGTGAGGAAAGGTCGATACGCCTAGTGGAAGAGTGATTAACTACCACTCTGCAGAGGCAGTGTGAAATCAGTCCGCCAAATTAAATCCGGCCTCAGATTATTACATACCTCAGTGACTGTTCATAAATATCCGTTGTTTGGGATCCCTCTCTGCTCTTTCGGTTGTCAACAGACGGGCATAGCACGACTGTTAACAATAATTGTGCAGTTAAATACGTCACTTTCGTCGTATTAATTATGTTTAATCACGTCCAGTTTAGTTACCGAGAATAGCTATCGAAAATCCTTAATATACCAAAATTATGCAACAAACTGAAGAGACGCGAAATTTATACCAGTAGTAATATAATTGCTGAACACACAAGAATCTTACAATACTTCAGAAATTAAAATATAAACATTTTAATTTATTTCTAGATATACCATACGAAATGTGTGAAAAGAAGATGCTATGAAGTCATTAAATCGATACCATTTTCGCCATATTTAAATTAGACTTGTGTCAATTGTTTGAGTCATCAAATCACGGCCCCCACAAGAGTCCTAGGTTCGGGACTTGGAGGGCCAAGCCCAGAATTGTTGTCAATGCTGCTAAACTGAGTCATAATGTTATTACAATTTTTTGGAAACGTTGAAACATTGTATTCTTTATTTTCTAACAGCTCTGGTCGTTGACAATTGTTAAAACAAAATGTGCCTTTGTTTTTACAAAGCTTTTTTTTAAACTTGGAGTAAAAAAGTACAAGCTTTGTGCCCAATTGTGAAGCACTATACAGAGTATTGCAAATATGACAAATAATTGTACTAAAGGCTATAGAAAACCTGCAGTTAAAACACCAACTTAGACATTCTTCAAAGTGCAAAGGGAAAGAAAGTAAGAACTTTCAGATGATCAGAATAGTGCAAGCTAATCTGAGACAGTCCAAGCCCGCCTCCGGAACCCTTTCATGTACCATTATCAGGGAGGAGATAGACGTAGCACTAATACAAGGACTCTGGATGTATGAAGGACAAACCAAAGGTAAGTTAAAATACAATACTTAGTGTGGAAACACTAGGGCATGTATATAGATACGTAATAGTCTAGACAACCTTAACTTACAAGATTTCTGTTTTAGAGACCTAGTAGCAATCAGGATGGAAATAAACATAACAGACAACAAGAGACCACTCATTCTAACCTCTGCATACCTCCCCTATGATTCGTCCAGCCCTCCATCAATAAATAAACTGAGGGATCTTGTTAACACCTGTTGGGTTAAACACCTGCAGGTACTCATTGCTGCAGATGCACTAACAACATTTGAATTCATTTTAACTACTAACCTAGAAATATTAAATCGTGGAAATGAACCTACTTTTGTAACTTTTGTAACCAGTAGACGGAGCGAGGTTATTGATATTACCCTTGGTTCTTCATTCGTTTCAAATCACATTGGCAAGTGGTACGTATCTAGAAAGCCTTCGCTCTCAGATCATCGACATATACCAAGACCCACATAAAACCGATTGGTTTGGGTACGGAGCAGTGTTTGAAACCGTTAAAACAACTCTTAATACTAAAAAAGTTATAGATGAAGTTACAGAACAATTACGGAACGCAATCATAATATCATATCACAATAACTGTTCGTTAAAAAAGAGGAAAACATCGAGGGAAGTGAGCTGGTGGAACACTGAACTCATCAAACGCAGAAGGAAAACACGTAAACTTTTAGTAAGGCGAAAAAGATGAATGAGCGGGGAAATACACTGAAATACTCAGAGAGTATAACAATACTGTTAGGATATCTAAGAGAAATTCATGAAGAACATTCTGTCAGAAAATTGAACATACAACTGAAGGATTCAGACTAGAAAAAGATCCAATAAAGCCTGTGGGGACTCTAAAAACCCAGACAGAAGAAACTAGAATGGAAATATTAGAAATACTTCTGAAAACTCATTTCCCTGATTGCATAGCACACCCAAATGCTGCAAACCAAATCCACACGAACTGGAACTCTCACAAAAGAATCTCCATCCAAGAGTGGGAAACTGCAAAACGTGTAGCCACAACAAAGAAAGTAACATGGGCAATACGCACCTTTAACCCATACAAATGACTGGGATCAGGCAATAGGTAATAGAAACATTGGGCCCGCATATTTACAGGTTCTACACGGCAAGTTTGGTGCATAAACATGTACCAAATACCTGGAAACAAAGTGGAGTGGTTTTTATGCCTAGATCAGGGCATCCAACATATGCCATGGTAAAGACCTACCGACCAATAATTCTGACGTCATTTCTATTGAAAGGAATGAAAAAACTGATTGATCAGCACGTTCGGCAAACCACTCTGATAGAGAGGCCATTTCATACAAACCAACATCAGGAAAATCTTGTGAGTCTGTTCTGCATCATCTTGTAACCATGAAATTGTCTTAGGAACATTTATTGACATAGAAGGAGCTTTTGACAATACCTCCTCTAAATCAATGGTAGCTGCCGCTCGCAAACATGGAATAGAAGATACCATTTGCTGGTGGATAGAAGACATGTTACGCGGACGGCAAGTACAGGCACAAATGTTCAGTAAAACCATTGTATTGTATTTTTAAAAAATATATATATTTTTTTTTGAGTAAATAAACTATATTATTATTATTATGTAGGTGAACATCCACAAGGTAAGCCCATAGGACCGAGTCCTTTCTCCTCTATTCTGGAACTATCATAACTATAACACAAGAAATAGCTCTAATTTGCATATTCCGCAAGTTGCAAGTAAACAGTGTTAAAATTCAGTATTTTTTAAGGAACTTCAAGTTTTTAAACAGTTACCCCACCCCTAGAACTCAAAAATGTCGCCTCATTTAATATCTTTAAATATAAATTAAAAGATGACAGATCAATGAGCCAGCATCTGTGATATTTTAGTGTTTAAAGTGTTATATTTTATGTTTTATATTTTAGATATAGATAATATATTTTTTTTTTGTAATTTAATTTAATTTAAATTTGCTAAATAAAGGAGAAATATATTACTTATATTAAAATTAAATGCGGTATAGATTTAGAGTTTTATTTATTTCAAAAAATATTAAATCTAGTACTGAAGCTGATACAAACAAGTGCCGCAAAGCTTTACAAATAACTAAAACTGTAGTTTTGTTTAAACAACTAAAACCTAAGACCATCAAAAACTGAAATAAAATTATTAAATTATTAGTGTTCATTCTCTAACCATTGCGTGATGGTGTGAATATGAAATTTCCTAGTCTCCGCAACATATATATTATCGGTAGGATCAAATTTTCTTAAATCCAGTTGGTTTGTAGCATCGGGAATTTTAATAGAAAATATTGAATCAGATACGTTGTCTGAAACGGTAGCACTTGACCATGGTTCCATTTCACCGTTACTGAAAATTATATTGGAATAATACTTCAAATCTTTTCCTCCATAAGCCAGTATAGCCCCTTCTGGTCGAACATCTTTAACCCCAAATCTTGCATTGCAGTTTTGGGCGTATTCTTCATAATCCCAAGGATTTGTAACAAACATATCGTTTTCCGTTGAGCATCTGGGGCTTATCAGTTCTGTGCATGTTTGAAAGTTCCAAGCAATTTCTGTCAAATCCTCGTTTTCATTGTTAATATTATTGCACAAACTATTTCCAGTATAATTGGTATAGAACTCTAAAGCACGACTATAATGTTGTATGAAACTTTTGTTACTGATTTCGTAATAAGAAGTGAGTTTATCGCAGAAAACTTTCACAGGGTACGCTGGTAAGGGAGTATACACATTTGTTGGATAATTATAATTTGCCATTGCCATATTTACGTGGATATTCTGTAACCAATTTAATAATTTTTCAACGTCCTTGCTGGTTTCAATTTTTGAACATATTTTCAATTCCGAGAAGACGCGTCTACCTGTAAAAAAATTGCCATTCAAGTTCAAGTACAGTAGAAACAGATTTTTTAGTAAAAATCCCAAAGTTGAATTATCAATAAAAGCTACTATCTTTCAAGAGATCTAGTAAATCTGCAAACAAATAAAAGTTGATCCTGCTGTTAGAGCCCTAGAGTACTTTTGGCCTCACTAAAAACAGTCTTAGAATTTATTATACAGGATGATTCATAACTATTGAGACCTAGGCTAAGGCAGGTTATTTGGACCAAAATATGGCGATTGGACCAAATATACCTTCATAAAATATGGCTGTGGAATAAGATACAGGGCGTTAAAGTTGAATTTTTTATTCCTTTTTTTTTTCTGATAATGTCACTGTTTATTTATGAATTGTTATCAAAATCGGCACAAAGGCATATCTTTGAAAAAAGAATATTATTTTATGTAATATTTCACATTTTGTTACAGGGGGTGCCACGTGAATGATTCCTGATGATGAAATTAGGTGGTAACTTTTTTTTGGCGAAACTTTTTAGTGCTTTTGATTAGAAAATATTACCTAAAAATTATTTCTACGTAATATTGGTACTCTTGTTTAAACACGATAATTTCACCTATTTTCGAAAAAAACGCAATTGAACAGTTCAGTATCTCAGAAGGGGATTCCAAATAACACAATAAGAAAACTTGTAACGTAAGGCTTCTATTTCAACGGTAAAGCAAAATTAAAAACAATTTAACATAAAAAAGCAAACTTAAATTAAATGTTCAATGTGACTTCCTCCAACTTCTATGCCTTTTCTAATTCTTTTAATAAAGGACTTTCGGATGGCAAAGAAAATATTATTCTGTCCCCTTATAAAATTACCCGCATTTTGTATGTTCCTCCAGAGTTCGTCTCGTGAATTAATTTCCTGGGTATAAACTAAGGACTTCATATGTCCCCATACATAAAAATCAAGAGGGTTACAAGTCAGGATTTCTTGGTGGCCATTCAAAATTACTTCCTCTGCCAATCCAACGTTGAGGAAATATGTCACTTAGATAATTTCTAACAACTAATGGGAAATGAGGTGGAGCTACATCCTGCATAAACAACATTTTCCTTCTTACATCTAGTGGCATATCATCCAAAATATCTCTAAAAGTATTTTGCAAAAAAATAAATAGGAATCTCCATTTAAATTTGGAGGAAGACGATATGGCCCTAGTAGTTGGTCGCCTATAATGCCACACCAAATATTAAATTTAAACTCATGTTGGAAATGTCTTTCTTTACGAGCATGCGGGTTTTCTTATTCCCGGTGATGACTGTTTCGATAATTAAAAACACCTCGTCTAGTAAAAGTCGCTTCATCGGTGAACATAATATTTTTAATAAAATTTCAGTTATCATTATGTTTGTTGAGAATACGTTGGCAGAACTGTAACCGTCTTGGGAGATCTCTTGGAAGCAAATTTTGAACAGGAGTGAAGTGATAAGGATGAAACTTTTCTTTTTTTAAAACTCTAATAATAGACGACTGAGTTACTCCTGTTGTTATTGCCAGTTGACGTGAACTTACTTCAGGATTTTCATCTACTCGAACCAAAATTTCATCTTCTTCATTAGGTGTGATTTGTTTCGAACGACCACCCAGATTTTTACTATGAAATGACCCGGTTTCACCCAAACGATGAAATAGATCTGCAAAAGTTTTGTGATTTGGTTGCCTTCTGTCTGGATATAACAATTCATACCTTCTGGCTGCCATGCGACCGCAAAAATTTTCTTGTGCATTTACACAAACCATATCCCGCGTTTCTTCATTCGTAAAATGATTGTGACGAGACATTTTAGTCGAAAAAGCTTTAAAAAATGCAACAATAGACTATAATCTCACAGCAAAAATAATTCATTGGCAAGAACTGACATTTACCAGACACAATTATCTGACAGTCCAACGCACACTTTTCATAAATAAAATATTTTTTGAAATATCATTCTGATACTCTAAACTGTTCAATTGCGTTTTTCTCGAAAACAGGTGAAATTATAGTGTTTAAACAGGAGTACCAATATTACGTAGAAATGATGTTTACGTAATAATATTTTCTAATAAAAAGCACTAAAAAGTTTCGGCAAAAAAACTTACCACTTAAGTTCATCATCAGGAATAATTCTAGTGGCGCCCCCTGTAAAAAATGTGAAATAATACATAAAATAATATCCCTTGTCCAAAGATATGCCTTTGAGCCGATTTTGATAACAATTCATAAATATACAGTGAGATTATAAAAAAAAAACGAAAAAAAAAATTCAACTTTAACGCCCTGTATCTTATTCCACAGCCATATTTTATTAAGGTATATTTGGTCCTATCGCCATATTTTGATCTAAATAACCTGCCCTTAATCTATGTCCCAATAGTTATGAATCACCCTGTATATGGTTTGCAACTCCTGAGAAAGGGTTGTGAGATCCATACTATTTCGAAGAAGATGAGTCACTTTTAGATAAAAATTGTTAAAATATACTTTTTAAATTAAGTTCCAATAAACCGTTTATATACAACGAAAACAGTAGGGGGCCTAATACAGTACCTTGAGGTACTCCGAATTTGATTTTACTGAAAGTACTCCTTATGTCTTCCAACTAAACAAACTGAAAACCATTTTCTAAATATGCCCTAAGTAATTCAAATATTTTTCTTCTGAGATCATAATTCCTTTGACTCATTCAACAAAATATAGCCACACACAAATAATTTTAGCTTTGTAAACATATTTCAGTCGTTTTTTTTTTTTTTTATCAGTACTTTTTATATATTTTATGAATTGTATTTTTATATGTTGCTATTTTTACTAATTAACTTATTATTATTTACAATGATTCTATACTAACAATAATATTAATTACCTATTTTTGTTTTGGATGAAGCCATGATGACATCCCAACCTCGTTTAATCATTTCCACACATTCCTCACCGCCATATTCAGCATAAACTTGTGTAATTTTCTCGTAAAACGTATCGCACTTTGTCAATCCTGGAAAATCAAACATAGGAGCCGAAGATGCAATGGTACCAGTGACCAAATAAGGATATTTCATTCTTAGCCAGGCTGCTAACATTCCACCGTATGATGCACCATATGCTACAACTGTTGGCTGACGATCGTCAGTTTCAGAAAGGGTCGTTTTTAAATACTTGCTTACAAAAGCAAAATCTGCTAACGCTTGAGCGGTGGATAAATATCTGAAATTTTATCAAATATGTTAACATAAGACATGAAATAATTATGTATTATTTTGAAATTTTTTTAATATCCTTACTGAAGTATTTACATATACATAGAGCAGATTCATATTCAATCTGCAGTTTGTATACAAAGTGGATAATATAGTGGAAGTGTCCTTAAAATGGGACTGTATGCTAAAGCGGGATCTCATGATTCTATGAGAAAAGAGTGTTGCTGTCTAGCGAAATATTGCCCAAGGGCAAGCTGTAGGTATACTAATTTTGAACTTGCTAACGAACTTTCAGTTTCATAGTGACTATACTCTGTTTTTAAACTAAGAGAAGCGATTTGAATTTAAGTTGGCAATTCTGTAGCCTTCTGATTGGTCAGATTACAGTCAGTTTCACACATTACTTTTTAGCATGAACATCAGCTAATAATTAGGCATTCCAACGACCTGTCAAACAATAGGTGCCAGTGGGAAATTCTTGTATATTTAGGGGGGTAGCGACATAGTCTTGCAACTTGGACGCTATTTTTATTCGAAGTAGTACTCGCCTAGCCTGCCAATTTATGAAAAAATGTATAGGTGGGTTTTTTAAATATTATTTTTATTGTGTTTGCCATAAAATATTTAAATGTAATCCAATATTCATGATTTTACGTAAAGTAGATAGAATACACCATATGTCGCTACCCTTAGATATACCAAACCTGCCCACTGGTAATTCATTTGTTTGGAATGCCTAATTGATATTGTTGACAGTTCTGACATTTTATAATTTGATATCTCATTCATTACAGTTTTTTACTTTATTTCGTAAATAATAGTTATTCAGTAAGCAATTGTATTGAAAAATCTACAATTATGGATACTTCTACTATTAAAGGTAGCAATTCATGAAAAGCCTTACAAGAAAGGGAAGATACCTTATTATTTTACATGCTGATTCTGAAGGTTTTGTAGAAAATGCATTATTGGTTTTTGAAGGTAAAAAGATGGGAGATTACCATGAAGTGATGAATTCCAAAGTATTTTAGAAAAAAATAATTTTATTACTGATTTTTTAAAACTAAAAATTGATGAATTTCTAACCAAAATGATTAAAACGTAAATAAATATTCAAGCAAATTTTATTTATTAGAATAGAATAAAACTATTTACAAAATTGTTATAACATTTAAGACACCATCTACTACTTTAGGGACAATCTTAATTTGGCACAATGAGTTAACATTACTTTCACAAAACATATTTTAAAAATACTTAAAATTAATACATAGGTATGTATGAATAGTTCACTTTAAAAAATATATGTTGACATGTAGTGTTATGAAAATGTTGGTTCCAGTTTTCAAAACAAATTCTGACTCATAGGCCTGTAAACTTTTGAATGCCTTTATTTGCCCTCTAGCGCATTAACCATGGGTTAACACTAAACAAGCCATAATATCCACATTACTCATAGAAGAGATATCAGTTACTGTGTGATCCACTTGTCATTCACTGATTAACTTTTACTTTTTATACCTATAACAAATAATATCCTTAAAAATGTAAACAGATCTTTATATTTTATACTAACCTGGCTACATCTGGATATTCCATTAACAATTTTCTTAAATATTTAATATCCATTTTAAAAAGATCATAGTTATTCTTAAAAAGTCGATTTCAAAAGCAAGAAAAAAGTATTTCTGACATCAATCAACAACCATATTGACTTTAATTTGACAGTGACATTTCGTTTTAGACACATATTTCAGATCACAATAATGTGAAATTTGCGACTGTTGTCTGGGACCAATTAAAAAATTACTTCTATGACATTTATTCGTTTCTTAACCGCTCATTGGCCGTTCACCGACTAAGGCCGATAAAGATAATTATCTAATAAATTTTGAACACGACTTTATTTTGAAACTCGCTCTTAGTAACAAATTTAGTTACTTTTCCCTGTGTAAATGCGTCTTTTCAATTCGCTCCTCCTAGTTTAAAAACAGAGCATAGTAACATTATTGACATACGTAAGTTTTTATGTTTTTCAATATTTTAATGTAATATTATTAACTCGTAATAGTAAGGATTAATTCAATATTTGCAAAGAGAATATGTTGATAATTTTTAAAGGCTAAGATAAGATGTTAAACGTTGTTATAGGCATGTGGGCATCAATATAAGGATAAGTTTGTAAAATTTACAGAAGCACAAAGGTTGAGGTATAGATAAAATAGAATATGTGGCATTTGTTTAAAGTGAGATATCTCATTTTACCTGAACTATCTTGATAATATTGTCACGTCGTGGCATATCAGGATAGTTTTTTAGGGGTTTGGGTAGCTCAGATTTTATCTGACAACACCATGACGAGCTCTAGTTCGCCACGCTATATTCTGGGTAGCTCGGATTTCTCCAAGGTTTGGATAAAGTTCGGACTGTTACTTTAATTATTATTCTGCTTGTTGGAAATAAGAAATTAAAATCACTAATGAAAACTAACACTTTTATTAATCCAGAAATTATTTTTTTAAATAGACATACAAAAATAATTATAAAATTACTAATCAAAACTAACACTTTTATTAATCCAGAAATTAATTTTTTAAATAGACATATACAAAAATAATTATAAAAATGTTTATGCTTACCGCATTATTTGTTTGGAGCACGCATTCGAGAAATTTGACAAAATGTAAAAAAATATTTTTTTATAAAAATTGTTCAAATAAAAGTAGTTTGTAATATAATTCTCTATATATTTTATCCTATACATAATTTCTCTAAAATGGACCGTATTCGAGATATTTGAGAAAATGTGTAAATTTCGAATTTTGAAAACGGATAAAGGAAAAAACATTAAATTTTAAAATTAAGTTTTATTTCGGCCTGGCGTAAAATGATTAGATTTTAGACAAAGTCGGAACATCTGGGGGGGTACTTTATGGGAGGCTGTTTTTATATTTTATGGAATATATCTGTTGTTTATGTTTGGAGAAGAAAATTGTTCAAATAAAAGTTACCTCTAATATTATTATCTATAATTTTTGTTTTATGTCAAATTTTCCTGAAATGGTCCGTATTCGAGAAATTTGACAAAATGTGCAAAATTCTGATTTTTAAGAAAATTGTTAAACTAAAAGTTGTTTGCGATATCGATCTCTATAATTTTTGTTTTTACATGATATTTTTAAAATGAACCGTGATGCAAAAATTGGTGGAAAAGTGCTAAATTTAAATTTTTCAGTATTTTCGTTTTGAATGAATATCTATAAAAAAATGTTTCGAGTTAGATGTATGTGGAAAATTTATATATTTATTTTATACTCTAAACATTTATAGAGGTGCTACAATAGGTTGTACAAAATAACCGGAAAAAGCCTATAATAACTAGATAGGAAAATCATATGTTGAACACAACAGATTTTTTATTTTATTTTAAGTTATTTATTTTAAGTAAAAATCGGCGGTGCTTTTTAAATGTTGCTCTGGGCTCTGGACTTTCCTGACTATTTGTTAGAATATTTACCTACAAGATTCATTTGCTGATTTTGTATGTTTAACAAGTTAATACAACTAACGATATTTGATATGTAGTTTTCACAGTTTGTGAAATCAGCAGAATTAGCAAATTTTGTTATTGTTAAATATGAAAGGAAAATGAATTGATTATTAAATATGAATATATAAAGATATAGAATTTGGAAAAATTTATTCATTGGAATATCTGCCAATATTATTTACCTGATTTTTCTTTGTTGCAGTAATAATAAATACACAATATGGCGGGTACTCAAGAAGAACCCACCGACAGGAGTGGTCTGAGGAAAACATAAAAAAAAACAATTAAGACATACCTTTTTTCAATGAATTTTTTTAGTTATTTTGATATCTAATTAGCTGGACAATAAACTTTCGAAATAATCAGTTATATTATAGGTTTTAAATTACCGTTCTAACCATATGATTCTAGCAGTTGTTAAAGTTTAAATATATTTTGTTTTTGGTAATAATTTAATAATTCATAATTAATAAATCATTATTAAAATTGTCCCAAAGGCATAACTTTATACAAGGAATAATTTTTAATTTATTTTTTACATTCTAATAATGAGCGATTACCTTTTTTTTGACTAAATTTCTAGGTAATTTTTGTGTAAAACTGTTTTACTTGTTTAAACTTAATAATTTTAACAGTTTTCGAGAAACACAATCTTAAAGTGTTTTAAAATAATTAAAATACGTAACTCCGAATAATAAACAAAATAAATTAATAAAATATTTCATAATAGTATATTACGTAACAAGAGTTGTAAGTAAACCATTACGCACGAAGTGAAAAAGTTTACGCACGAAGTGAAAAAGTTTACGGACGAAGCCGCTGCCACAAATTATGTGTGGCAGCTTGAGATTTTTCTAAAATCTCTGATGGGGTGCTCATAATTTCATCACTTTCACTACTAACAGATGTATTCTTAGGTAAATTTAAGAAAATGTTCTAATACAATATTTTGTATAATGTATAATAGGGTGTATCATTTTTAATCAACTTTTTTTTTTAACTAAAAAACAGGCTTAAAACTTTCAGGAAGGTGAAAAAAGAAGCCTCTAAAAATTTGAACTCTTAATATTATCTTTTAGTGGTGCCTGTTCTTAACTTTTCATTTTTCATCTAAATAACATGGAAAATTTTTTTTTCTTTTTTCTTATTTTTGTAGCTTGACATTTGAGCATTGTAAAAATAAAGTGAAAAATTATTTTAGTAGGAAATTGAACGCTCTACAAAAAGTTCTAATTAATTTTTTACATAGAGTGAGCCGTTCTGAAGATATTCAAACTTAAAGTTGCAAATGTATGAAATTAGGACTTTTATTTAATTAAACTGATAACTTTTTATGTCTTAAAAATTATTTTTAAGAGAACATCATTATTTTCATATAGAAAGAAAATGACGCACAGAAGACAAAAATTCACTAGAAATATTTTTAAACAAAAATATGAGTGACTTTGTTTCAAAACAATCATTGAAACTTTTTGAAATATTTGATTTGCCGTACGACTTTCTGGATGCAGATGTCCTAATTTGGCCAGATAATGAAAGTTATCAAGAGAATTTGGAGTTTTTCGAAAAATTGAAAGTTGTCAATGACGTTGCAGGACATAACGTCGCATTAGTAGAAGAATATAATAGATGCCTAACTAAAGATGAGGAACAATTTTAATATGTATTACAAGTGGTAAAGGAGCACCGACGAAAATATCCAAATTGTAATAAAAAAAATTCAACAAATATAGTTACATCATTAAAATATCTATTAGTTTCAAAATTTTAGTATGCTAATTGTTTAAAGTTTTTTTTAATCTATAAAATAATAATTTTACTGAACCTAATTCATAATTGCTTTTGTTTAACAGTTAATCAAATAATATCTAAGATGTAATTTTTTTTATTTTAGCTTTCTAAAAATATTAGCGCACAAAAACCAGTTTTCTGATTAAAAATAATTCTTAAGACATAAAAAAGTCATCAGTATTAGTTTAATAAAATAGAAGTCCTAATTCCATACATTTGCAACTTTAAGTTTGAATATCTTCAGAACGGCTCACTTTATGAAAAAAATAAATTAGAACTTTTTGTAGAGCGTTCAATTTCCTACCAAAATAATTTTTAACTTTATTTTAACAATGCTCAAATGTCAAGCTACAAAAATAAGAAAAAAGAAAAAAAATCCATGTTATTTAGATGGAAAATGGAAAGTTAGGAACAGGCACCACTAAATAATAATATTAAAAGCTCAAATTTTTAGAGGCTTCTTTTTTCACCTTCCTGAAAGTTTTAAGCGTTTTTTTGTTTGAAAAATAAGTTGCCGACATTTAGGGGCATCATTTTTTTAATTCAAAATGTATCTCGCTAAAACTAAAAGTTTTTGTGTTTTTCAATTCACTAAATTTATGTAAATAGACCAAATAAAGTCGAACGTAGATAATAATTTGATTGCAATTTGATTAAACTAAGAAATTTAAGTTTTTTTATCAAAACGCACGTGTATGTTTTGAGATCTCATTACGTGCATGTTATTGTTAAATGTCATTTACAAGGAATGTTGATAGTGCGATTTTTAACAATTACTGACATGGGCGTAGAAAAACAAATAAAACATCTTTGGAATGATCAGTCAATTTTATATTTTTGTTATTTAGCACTACATATGTTTCGGAATAAATTCCAAATTATAATGCAGTAACGATCAAAAATTTAAAAAACATTGAAGGATTAGAAATTATCCTCTTTTAATAAAAAATAACAAACTCAAAGTGAATGTTCTACGTGGCATTCTCTTACTTTTACGTCTTTTCCAATTTCTTTTAAAGAAAGAAGACATTAAACAAATAGCAGCATTTTTTCGCAAAGAAATTTCAACTGTCTACGTAAATTGTCGGCATATGAAAATCTTTTTTATTACTAATTTTAGGAAAAAAAGTTGTTCTTTATAAAAAGTTGAGCATGGTCTAAAACCTAAAATACAACCATCAAATATCAAATTTTATCAGTCGTATAAAGAATAAAGGTACTTTACTCTTGAGTAAAACTCATATTTTTTGACAAACCTCGTATACCACTAAAAAATTTGATATTTGATGACTGTGTTCTAGGTTTTAGATAATGCAGAACTTTTTATGAAGAATAACTTTTTTCCTAAAATTATTAATAAAAAAGTTTTCCATATGATTCCAACTTAGGGGAAATACTGTATAACCAAGTTCTACCTGTGTTTAATTTGAAAAAAGTTTTTAAAAGTTCTGTATATTATTGTAGAGGCAGCACCTTACACAGCTTCAAATCTAACATGAGAGTTTTAAATCATATTATGGTTCTATTCATTTATTTTTAAACACGCTCAATTCAGTAACACAATTCTTTTGTTAAAAGCTTACTAGTTTATTATTCTAATTATATTTTACAAGTTTTATAAAACATACGTATGAATAAATGATTTATGAGCATATTAAAACATTTTTTTCTTTTTTTTCAAACTGTACATGTTTATTTTAGCAAAATAAATAATTTTACCAAATATAGTTGAAATTCCTTGAGTAGGTTCTTAGTTTTTCTTGTTTTTCTCAAAAATCACTCAAGCGATTTTGATTAAAATTTGGGAAGATACTAGCCAAGATCTTATATATACTTATGAATTTTTTGAAAATTTTTGAATTTGTAGTTAATTTTTCTGGAGGTCCACTCAAAACTTAAAGACACTTCCCCTACATGTGGGTAAAAAAAAAATTGCGTACTTACTTCAACTGTTTCAAAGAAGAAAATGAATCGTTTCCAAATGGCAGCGATTGTCCATAGTATCTATGTTCTACGAAAATCAGAAGAGCATTGAAGATGGGTGCAATGTCGAACATGAAACCAGAATTTTGAGCTTGAACGAAAATATCTCCTTTCCCCCCTATATAAATAAATATTGGTCCTGTTTCATCATAATATTCGGCGTTTATTAAATATCTCAATTTAAAAACATTCGGTTCTTCACTTGGCGCAAAGTGATTCAGAGGGACTTCTATGTATTCTGTTTCCAAAAAATATTTCGTTTGTGAAAACTGTGCATTGAGTGCACTGAACATAAACACTAACAATAATTTATCTGTATACATTTTCACTACTTATGACCGTCTTAGGTGATACATCTACTATTTATAGGTACCGTTGAGATTTTAAGAATGAAGCATTTAGTTTTCATGATTAATCCGAACGTCCAGTGATTGCTTTGTAAAGAATTAAAACTATTCGCAAAAACTTGAGTTCCTTAAATGTTTCCAATATTTTAAGATAACTATTTTTTCGGTAAAAACAACATTAGCGATGATAACATTCTAACAATGTACAAACAAATAAAAAAGAAATATTTAAATCAAAGATTTGAAGCAATAAAAGATTTTAAAAATCAGCACCAGGTTTGGAGCTTTTAAATAGAATAAAGATAAATAAAATTCAAATGAATTGTGTTTAGAACTTGAAAACTTAAATAACATACCAAAGCTATGCGGCCTAATTTGAAGAATTGTAAATTGTATTTTGGACAAACTTTTCCAAAGATAGAGACATATCTTCCTCTGGTAATGACAATACGTTGTTTCAGCAAATTAAAATTAATTGAAAGCAATTAGCCAGAAAATACTGACAAATTTTGTCATTTTAAGCAACGAGTACTTTGTGGCGGATACTATTAATTTTAATAGTACACTCAAAAAAGTTTATTGATAAATATAATGACTTTTCTGTTACTTTAATAATAAAATAATTCAAATTTCTCAAATGTGACCAATTTAAGCTGATGTGACTAATCAAAGATAGAATGTTAAAAATGATTTTTTATGTCTGCTTTTTTCTACTGATATAATGCATCCCAAGTTGCGGTATTAGCCAAGGGAGTAGTTGTTTTCAGGACGGAATAGGTCGCTTGACAGTCAACTTTGCTGTGACATGGTCTTTGAGATTGTTTCTTTTTTCTTTCTTTATTATAATTCTTAGGCTAATAGTATAATTATTAAATTTTAGAAAATATAATGATTTTAATAACAGTGTATTTATGAAAAATGAGAAGTTTAACAATTAAATATACAGATTTATACGCTATTATGTCAATATTATTAAAATTATTAGTTATTTATATTTTATTTAAAGAAAATAATGATTCTTATAACAATACTTTTTTGTAATATGAATAATATGAATAGTATAACTAGTAAATATGTAAATTTATACTATATTATGTCAATAGCATTTCTTCTTTTCGCAAACTCTTCAAAAATATTTGTATCTGGGCAAGGGTGACTCCAGGAGGGGCTATGGGGGCCATGCCCCACTTCCCCCCGAGATGAAAATTCTTACGATTTATCAACCTTTTATTTAAAAAAAAATGCTAAATAGGGAATGGCTAAAGGTAACAATCCCCCCCCCCTCCCCCCGAAAATTCATCTTGGAGCCGCCCTTGATCTGTTTTAATTATTTTTGGCACTTCCAAGCAGAAATCGTTCATATTTTTGTCATTGGCTCGTCTTACTTTGTCTACGATAAAACTACGTTCTATTGACTTATTGTGTTCATAATCTTAATATATAATGACTTCAAAATATGTATCCATGTATATTCTTTCTTTTCTAAAAAAGCATTAATGTTATAGTAGAGATTAAGTTAAACAATGAACTCAAACAACTAGTAGGTAATTATAATTACCTACTACAAGTTCGATAAAATAGGTATTCATAATGAATTTAGGCACTTAACAGCATATTTTTGGCTAAGCTTCGCCACTCTGATAACATCAATTTTTTTGTTATTTATACTATAACGTCATAACGTACTTTTAGAAGCTACTAGCTACTGCAGCTAGTGCTAATGAGAAGACAACTATCGAAACGCAAATATAATATTATTTTTATTTGTTTGTTTAATACTACTTTTGTCAAATTTACAGTTGGCTTTGTTAATATACTATGATTTAGATTCCCACAACAATTCTGATTTACCCCAGTATAAGTATTCTAGCAGTAATGACACTCCCTGGGCGGGAAAAAGACGCGCAGCTTTTACTGCGCTGACGTTTTCGAGATATAATCTATCACTTGTCATAAAAACTCGCTACCATGCGTAGACAATCTATATTTCGTACACAAATAGAAACTTTTGTTTACATTTTATTAAAATAGTTTTTGTAATACATTCATAGTTTAAAAACGGAAAATTTGTTATTCTGATAGTGGATTTAGATCAAAAATACCACAAATACACTTCAATGTGTGTTTTATCCTTATTGTTACGTATTACTGCTCGTTTTATTTGGGGACATTGGAATAAATAGTACTAGAAGTAATCAAGCTAAAAAGGTGTGTTGTAAGAAGAAAATACATTGCAGTCGACTGATTTATGTTTAATATGTTTTCGTGAAGTATTTCTAATCATACTGCCGTACTTGAACTCATTCACAAAAACAAGTCACTGAGTATATAGGGTATCCCGAAATTAGACGGTCATATTTTAACAGCGTAATCTACATCTTAAAATAGGAGTAAAAGTTCCTATAAACATAGGTCCAAAAACGTTTCGTTTTCGAGATACAGGGTGTTACAAGTGAAGTCCTGTTGGCACATTTTTGTAAATATTTTCTAAAATTTCTTTAGTCATCGGTTTTCCAAAGTTAAAAAAAAAATCAAATTTCTGATTCCACATGCCTACTAATTATTGTTTACACTTTCGAATAAGATAACATCAACTTATCATGAAATTTTCTATTAAATTAAGAAACTGAAAAGTAACACATTTGTTACAGATTATAATGGCATTCAAAAGAATGTATTCAATGTGAATATTTCAGATTAAAAACCAAGAAATGCCTCTTTAAGACTCAGCTGGAATATTTACTTATTTTCGCAAGTTTAATGAGTTGTCAAAAATATTCTCAAAAAGAAAAACCTCTCATGAATGTTGATACAATATTTGAACAATCATAAAAATAACAATCACATTGATGAGAATGTTTTCATCAATCTAAAATTGGATTCTCAAAAATCCTGTTTATCTACTACTAATTTGTGACGTTAAACTTTGATTTTCTTGTTAATACATTCCTATTTATTTGCAGCGAAAAAAGTACCTACTGTTTTTAATTAATACTATATAGTATGTTTTATTCGGAGTAAAACGAACTTCTTGTGACTCATCTACTATTAACCTGTAAGATGCATAAAAAGATCTTATTATTAATATTTTGTGATATTATTATTTTTGACAAAAGACGAAGAAATTCTTTACTTACCGAACGGGCTATCTACAGGGTGTTTCAAAATTTATTGAAAAAATTCCTCATTAAAAATTAAAGGGAGAGTTCTATATATAAAATTTTCTCAACGCAACTCCTTGAGAGAGATGAACTTCGAAAAGATATAAGTAAAATTAAGTTTAATTTTTTAATAAAATCTGCGTTAATGTATAAACTTGGAAATTTCAATATTATTAACATTCTTAAAGCGGTAATGATCAATTTTTTTCAGTATTGGCATTGTTTTATAAGGGGCTTAAATTAACAACCATTATATAATTTTTATTTAATGTTAAAGGTTTTTCGTCGAATCGAATTTTATAAATCAAAAATATTATTTAGAAAGCTTGTTTTATTAACAATATTCCACAGCTCTATTTTTACTAAGTAGGACCTGGACAACAGATTTAATTCCCTCTAAACTATAGAATAAGAACTATACACTGTTGCTATCATGTTCGAGTCATGGGTTGCGACGAAATTCTAAATAAAATGTACTTTTTCATAATATACTTTGTTTCACCAAAGCATTGGTTGTACCTATATAATATTTAAAAATATTTTTAGTGAAGTAAGCAAATTATTTAAATTAGTTGGTTAAAAGTGACATTTACATAATCACAGGCGATATAAATATGAATTTCTTAGATAATTTTATCTATCTAAAAGAGTAAAAAAATATATTATGCTACCATGATTTTATATCATATGTCAATGAGTACACAAGATTACCTAGTCGAACTTGTCTAAACCATTTATGGGTACAAAATAAATCAAACCCAAATTCAGAACATATAGGCATAAAATCTTTTATTTTTAGGCACTACATTACTGATCATAGTCCTATAGGGTTAATATTTAAAATAGGAAATTATAAACCTAAAGAGCGTTATAAAAACTCTAAGACATATTATATAAACTATAAAAAACTAAAACTAGATTTGTAAAGAGAATTGGCCTAAATTATATTATGGGGAAAGAAACGCAAATAATTATGTGTCTACATTTTATTTCCAAATTAAAATATTATATAAATAAAAATATAAATACATTTAAAATAAAAGATGAAATTGTTTGTAAAAAAAGTGGGTAACGTCGGGACTATTAAAATCAATTAAAGAAAAATAAAAACTTTATAAATTATTCCTCAAAATATAGAAATTAAAGAAAGATATAAACAATATAATCTTACTAAAATAATAAAAAAAGCAAAATCTACATATTTTTCCAGGCAAATCTAAAATAATAAAAATACCTTTAAAGCTCTTTGGGAGTGTAAACTATATCTGTGCGTAAATAAAAACTCTTTACGCACTAGTGCGTGAAGTAAAGTTTCACGAACTCTATAGCGTGCAAAATGATAGGTACTTTTAAGAACGGTAGTAGAAAGAATATTTTTTTATTTATAAAATGTGTTTTACTATCAACTGTAATGGGTGGCTTTAAACCAGCAAGTAATATTATAGAGAAAACAATGTAAAATGATGGGTGAATCAAAGTCACCCTCTACCTGCGGGTGACTTTGCACGCCCCTTTTTTATTTGAAACATTAGACCATTTGAGTTAATTTTGCTTAATAATTCTTAAAGTATAACTGAAGACTAAATTATGGCGAAAATGGGAATTTAGATTTGCTTTTATTTTACAATTGAAACTAGATTTAAATTTTGACAGTGAGTCATAGTCACCCGACTTTACGGTACCACGTACAAGTAGTTTAAATACTACTTCTGTTGTCCTTTCTGTTTATTCTCTGTGTTACATTTGTTTTTTTATACAATTTTGTATTTGTACCATTGAGATGAATAAACATATATTATTAATATTATATTAATCGTTTGTTTTAATTCAAAATTTCCTTCATTTACCCCGTATTTGAC